GTGGTGTCAGGTGGGAAATGCACTGACGGATTGATACGATAGCTGCCCTGGTGGCCCGGAGGGCCTGGTACGAACTGAAGGAGTCTGCTGGCGCGTTTGAGACGTAGAGTGATTCGGGCCAGCTCAGTGATACTTCCGTGGTATTGAAAGTACAGTCGGAAGGCATCGGTGTCTGTGAACAGAGTGTTGTCCGGTATGGGGCTGTTGATCGTGGGGTGGTTGAGGAGCTGATTGACCACGTTAGCAAGGCAATCGAGAAGGCCTTGCGAAAGAGGAAGCTCTGGATTGTGTGTGAGTGAAGGAGTCAGGTGTGGAGGAGGATTGTCCGGGAGGAAGTATGTCTCGGCAGCTGAAGATTGCTCCGTAGAAGGCGACCACAAAGTTGAAGGTGGTCCGAGGTCGGTTGAAGCCATGCTGAGCAAAAGTCATAGGAGGTTGACAGCAATCAAAGTGAAAATGGCTGCGGTGAGATAGGCTAGTAATCAACATCCAAAGATCTCAGAAATCGCAAAGACCGAGTAACAGCTGTACAAAGTGGTTACGCGCATGAGAAACGAGCTGAATTCAAAGTACTCAATGGTTCTGCAGTGCATGGACATTGTTTGCTGATGGCGGGCCGAAGAGAGCTGGGTGAGACCGAAACTATACAAAATAGCTACCGATGTCAGCCGGTGCGAGTTCCGGATGACTGTCCTCACTGATGATTTCTGGCACGGCGTCAGCTGTGACTGAGGCAGCCAGTGCAGGCGATGGAGGTGTTGTAGGTGTGTAGGAGAAGTCTGGGGCTGAAGGTGGTGCCGGTGGTGGAAGCGCTGCTGCCGAGGGAAGCATCTGGGCCGGTGAGGCCGGTGGTGTGTTGGCAGGTGAAGTGGGTGTAGGTGACGGTGGTGGGTGGATTGCATTGTGTTGGTGTTGAGGGGCTTGAAGTTCTTCCCAACGTGCTTTGCACTGCTCAATGGAAAAACCTACTCGACGGGCAACGTAGTTCCAGTTCGGGCGAAGACGAGCATCAGTTTTGAGCTCGACAAGGCGGACATCTGCGTCAGCGTCCCAAGCATCCCAATCAGCATCTTCGTTGAGGGGTGGTGGAGGCTGGCGTTTGCGCTTGGGCTGTGGCAGTGGTGGTGAGGAAGAAGAGGTCGAGGATGCTTGTGAAGGAGGAGGTTTCGGTGGTGCATGTTTGATGGGAGCAGCAGGAGCCGAGTCGCAAGAGGAAGTGGGGGAGGGAATGGGGACGGCTGTGAGGGGAGCTGGAGGGAGAGTCGGAAAAGGTCGATGAAATTGAGGGTCGACCTGTTGTGTGTGGACGAGATAGAAACTGTGCAAGTTGGACAGGATTTCTGTTGCTTGCTGGAGTAGACGATGAAGCTGGCTGAGGGCAATAGTGGTTCGATGGAGAAGTCGAACCTGGTCTGCATGAGACTGCATCTGAAAAGGTCGTGTCAAGGTAGCGAAAGCGGCGGACTGGAGCGTCGATTGGCGCAGCTGTGGTATCAACGCTGCATAATCGGCGGGAAAATAACATGCGGAGCGTGCAGGTGAATTACGAAGATGAATTATTGAGCATGAATTTTGCAGGATATACATAAACGTGAATGGAATCTGAAAAACTGCATCGGTGGAAAGAAGAAAAATGCACAAGACTCTCAAGCACGGTCAAAGCCCAAGGCCTTTGATCTGACAAGGCTAGAGAAAAATCCAAGTGAGCATACATGAGAAATCAATCAGGATGTCAAAAGGAGCCGCTAGAAATTAGGTTTGAATTGAAAAAAGGATACGATAGGCTGACGTTGCAAAGCTCTGAAACATGTCCTGCAAGTAAAGCGTCAGAGCGCGGTTTTTTCAAAGCCGGAGTTGGTGGCGAGGTGAAACGTAGGGACAGGCTGCTCTCAGGCATTGGGAGGTAGCATGGAGGTGGAGGTGGAGATGGAGCTGGCGGTGTGTTGTAGGACCTCAAAGGTCTGGAGGGGTGGCATTTATAGACCATGCCAGCCCCTTGACGATGGCATTATTGGGGTGAATCACCCAGCAGCGGGCCTTGGAGCGGCAAACAGCGCCATGATCTCGTTGCAAAAGATGCATGGCCTGGGCTTCACCTCCGCTGGTGAACTTCGTCCCACGGCCCCAAGCAAGGAGATGGACCATGATGGAGTGGACGTTTTTTGCAATCTTCCATGTGTTGTGTAGAATGCGGGCCTGTTCGTAGTTGTCGTGAATGTGTCGGTGGGTGATGCGTGTGGCTTGGGCAAAAAAGCCCGGGTTGGCCTCGAAGTGAAGGGTACTGGGGAGGAGACGACCCTGTTGTAAAATGGCAGCAATGTTGCCATAGGGGCCGGTGTGGCATGCATTGATGTGAACTGTTTCAGGGGCAGTGGAAGTGGCCCGAGTGGCAGGTGGTGGCAGTGGGCGAGTGGCTTTGTCGACGAGGCTCGGGATGTTGATACAGTGATAGGAGAAAGTGTCGTAGGCATTGGTGGTGTCATTCCATTTCACATGGGTGAGTTGGCGGAAGTCTGCCAAATCATCAAACACAAAGCCGGTGTCTGCAAGAAGTTTGGCGATGTAGAGATGTTGTGGTCTGTTCTCTGCGGCAAACTGGGCTGCGTGGAAATCTAGCCACCATGCTATCTGTTCTTGTGGCGACAGCTGCTGGAAATGTGGAGGAGGTGGCTTCCAAGGTGGGTGGGGGCGTCGTAGCGCCGGAAAGTTGGAGTAGTCCGCTTGGGACATGTTTGTGATCTGACTGTGAGATGTGGACTGTTGATTGGGCCGGAGAGTAATAGGTGCATGGGAGCGTGTGTGGGAATTGCTGGCTGAAGACGTGGTAGATGTGGTGGAGGGAGAGCGGCGACGTCGGCGGCGTGCCGAGGACGCTTTGGCGGTGGAAAACGCAGGGGAACGTTGGCGTTTGTCACGTATATGGCAACTGCGGTGGCGGCGACGCCGTTTGCTACGGCTTCGGCCACGATGGCTGCGGCCAGTGGTGGTAGGAGGAGGCGGTGCTGCTGTGAGAGGTTGTGAAGGGGGCTGCTTGGGAGGCGGTGCTGTTGGGGTTGTGGATGCTGCCGGAGATGCTGGTGGTGGTGGCGGTGTTGGCTTGGCGGTGGCTGGTTGCGGAGCAGTGGAAGTGTGTGTAATTGGTGCGGCGGTGGTGGCAGTGGTAGCTGGTGAGGATGTCTCCTGAGTAATAGCGACTGGAAGCGCCGGGAGGGGCGTTGGGAACGCCAGAGGGGAGTTGTGGATATGTTGGAGTGGCCGAAGCAGTTGTGTTCGGAGCCGATGCGGAAGCTGGCAAAGGGTGAGCAACTCATTAAAAGCCGAGAAAGGTTGCCAAACACCTTGAGATTGGTCCCAGTGGACGGGGACCTGTTGGATTGGCGGCTGTGGTTGTGATGCTTGAGGAGCAGGTAAAACGGATGGTGTTGGTGGTGCATGTGGTATAGTGGGTGGATGAGGTTGTGTTGGTAGGGCCTCGAATGCCTGCATCTGTGGAGCTGTTGGGTGGGGCCTGTGTGGGAGCCACAAAGTAAAGGTTGGTACTGGTGGAGAATGTGCTGGCATGGGATGTGGCCACGCATGAGGTGGCGGTTGCTGCGGAGTGGGCTGAAAGTGGGGTAGAAAAGCTTGCTGTGATGGATGGGATAAAACCGTAGGAACAGGTGCCGTTGGTGGAGAGTGGTGCCATGGCGGTGGCTGAGTGGTGACTGCGGGAATGGAGGGTGCGGTACAAGGCGGTGGCCAATGTGGATAAGGCCAAGGGTACTGCATGTAGAGAGGGCCGTCCGAGTGGCTGCGAGAAAATGGCGCCGGCGCGGCACAGCAGCTGAAAGGATCAATTTGAGGATGGCAGTGAATTCGTGGAACTCAGTATGTGTGCAGTGAAAAATTAATTAAGTTGAAAAATCACATGCATACGTTGATCGTCGGTCAAATGGCTGCGGGTGGGAAGTTAAATTGAAGTTGGAGAAAACGCAGCAATGCACAACACGAATGAATGTCGGAGCGTTGAGTGGATAGTTCCTCGCTTATAGCCCGGCGGCTCGAAAATCAGGGAATTCAAGGATATATTGGAAAACGTGGGGTCAGTTATAAGAATGAAAAAACGATGCTTTCCGGAATGATAGCAGCGCCTCCTTTCGGAGGATCACACCCAGTACCCGAGTGGGAAGACTGAGCGGGTCACACTTCGAACTTGGGTTTTCAGTTAGACTCAATTGCCACGTTGAGAAGTAAGGTGAGGGAACGGAAAGGTGCAAGGGTCAGCCAAAAAAGTATTGTTGAACAATGTTTCCGAAAAGCGCTCAAGTGAAAGCGGCGTTCAGCAGCTGCAAGGCGGAAGGAAAATGGTTTGGGGGAGGTATCATGAACTACCATGGAAGCAAACAAGAGAAATTGGAACAGCGTGGGCAAAAGTTCAAATCTGTTGCAGGTACGTGAACCTGGCGTCCCAGGTTCATATCCTCTCCAAACATCAGGAGCTTCGTTGGCCACAGACTGATGAATGGAGCTGTGGCCCCCTGCCTGTGATAAGGTCATATGAGTGGAAAAATTGAATTGGAAACGGTGACGCTAGTAGTGGAGGGGTGAACAATTGAAAGCCCTTAGAACCAGGGTGTGACACACACACACACACACACACCACTCCAAAGTTGCGTTGCTATGGTGTTTACATCGACACGAATCCGAGAGTCCACCCATCCAACACATCCCAACACTCACTCCAAATCCTTCCCCCGGTTAAGGAGAGTAGTATAGATCGAATCATAGAGCGAATTTTTGAGACGGACGACACGACCGTTGCGACCGATAAAGCAACGTTAAGTGATCACAGCGTCAAGCCCCAGACCCCAGTTAGACGAGAAGCCTTCGCTACGCATTCGTGCAAAGTGGGCTAAATAACAAATTCATGCTACGAGTACTTGCTATATTTCATACTACATATATAAATATATCATAATAAATCATAATATATGTTTTTCACATGTCTCGGTTGCACCTGCCTGGCCAACTCTTGCTCAGCTTCCTCCAGGGTCGCGGCACATCAGTCTGGGTACATTGTTCGTAGCGCTGTTGAACGTAGGAAGTGAAAAAGAGTTGACATGAGTTGACCTTTTGTGTAAGACTTGTTGTCGTTTCTGGTCCTCCAGCGGGTCGAGCATCTGACGTCTTGAATTGTCATGCTTCTGTGCCACTTGCCTGCAAAGCAAACAAAACGACAAACAATATTCTTCCAAATGATTTCAAATGATCGAAACACAAATAGGAAATATAAATAAATGCACTTTCACTGAAGACAGTTCGAGTTAGTCCCTGTCTTGGCTTCCAACGAGGCCATTGTATGAAACTCCTGCTTTCAACCAAGCATCCAAACGGAATGCGCGGTGATGATCATCATCTACTTGCACTGCATGACTCCAATGTCGCTCTGCGCGAATTTGCACAGTCCCTGTGACTTCTTCTTGTTGACAGCAGTGCTGCACTCATGTTTACTTTGTCCTTTTTGAAGCCTCAATTTAGCCACATGCCATGCATTGCGCAATCAAAGCATCAGCTCATATCAACTGACCAGCCTCGTGCTGTCTTCGCATATTCTCTGCCGACCTGCAACTTGCCACTGAATTTGCTTCATTCATTGCAGCATCAAACCATCTGAATCTGAGATCTTTGCGAGTGAAATGCTGCATTGAGCTGCTCAAACATGTTATGGAGTTGTCGTTCTCGTGGGAGAACCTGCGAAACGACGACAGCGAACGATTTGTGCTGTAAAAGCCGAAGCCAAAGTCGTCCAAGGACGCTACTAATTAGGGGCTCCTGGCCTTACTACTAGGAACAAGGACCGCAACAGTGGGGAAATGTATTGTAAAGATTTGTAAAGTCGTCCAACGTGTGCTGGGGCTGGAGCACAACAGCAACAGTGGGGCAAACACAGCAACAGTCACGAGTCAACCAGTTCAACCTGCGTCGCGACTTTGGGGGGTACAGGACAGGATACCTTTCCTTGTTGCCTTTCGGCTTCCCGTCTCGGATTTAGTGCATGTTTGAAACATCATTGAATCTTGATTTCATGCGGACACGAGCTGCAAAGCTATATACTTTTGGTTTCTCAGGCGTACAGGCTGACTGCTTCAAAGGGGATCTTCTTCTGTGCAGCGCACCGTGTCTATCGGAAGCAATCCAAAGTTTTGCCAACTGCATTTTCTGTCCAAATTATTTGATAAATTTTAGCTGCTGCACATTTAAGGTACTGATAGGTACTGTAGATGTCAAAGTCATTGGCCCGCCTCTTGCTCCATGAGATCGACCACTCGCCGCAGTTCTTCGCGCAACTGCACCTGAGAGAAGCACTACATATTCGCACTGTGCAAGTGCTACCAGCAAAGCGTGGTGCAAAATTCTATATATCAATCAATATAAATCAATACAGACTCTCTAGACATCTTTAAACTCTGTTCATCCAAGTGTTGGCAGGTATGCCGTAGGCGTAAGGAATCTGGTGGTCGCCAAAGGATCACCCCTGCGCAATTTGCCTAATCGAGAGCGTGAACCATAGTGAAAGCGCCCGACTAGCTTGTCCTCGTTTAGTTTCATGGTGCCTGCTCTTCGTACAATGTCACGACTTCCCGCGTGTGCTCCTAGCAGTTTCATGAAGTGCTCTCGCAGCAGTGGCTCGTTCGTGCTTTCATGCCTAAATGGGATGCCACGACAACGTACATAGCCGTCCTGTTCTAAGGTGGCTAACAGTTCGCTAGCCAAGGGAGCTGCAACCTTATCCATTCAGTGATCATTCTACAACCACTGATCTGAGAAACTCCAACAAACCGCCAAGCCTGCTCAAATTGGCTCACGCCACTTGCCCAACTTTGCAAGGATACATTACCTCCAAATCAAGATGCATTGCTGAGAGCTGGAACATCCAGAATATTCCAGAATAAAAATGGCACCACTTGGCCTTCGGAACCTGGAATTCTGATGAATTCTGAGGGGTTCTGTTCAGGACTTGCATGAATGTGAATTTCAAGATTTAATATATGGTCACGTGCACAAGTATCTCAGTATTAGTGTCACAGTCAAACGATGGAAACAAACATGAAGCAATGCAGTTCTGGCACCAAATGTATGGTATGCAAACCGCCACAGCTGCATGAGGTTATAATGCAAGTGTTCCACTATTCGGGTCAATGTGATGGAACATGGCGGCTTGATTTCATACTCACATACTCACCAAGTCTCACGAGGCTTCGCAAATATTTTGAATGTCGTCGGGGGAGGGCTGTCATCTGACTTCTGCAACACCCCCACTTTTTCATATAGCGAGTAACATCATACTACAAGTAGCATGTATTTTGTAACTGAGAGTGAGAACAAACACAGAGCCAAGGATTGTTGTGGAAGAACCTCTGAGAGTCTTGGAGTACCTGTACGTAGTCCTCTGGTAGCCACCCCATTCTGGCCATCCCAAGTGCTGCGAACAAGGTGGTATTCAGAACAGCAGGTCCAGCGTTGTGATGGAGATGCAAGAATTGGACATTCATCAGATTCATCAGGATCTAGTGTCTCAGACTCAGACTATCAAAGTCTAAGGGGTCCATTGAGACTAGGACGTTGATGTCGAAGTGTACCAGCCAAGAAGATCTTGATGGGTTGGGCTGAGAAGCTCACATGGGTCAACCAGGTCGTCCAGGTCACAGAATCTGTGACCGAACAATGTAGAAATCTGCCCGCACCGAAAGGTACTGGGGCGTGTGTATCCGGATGACATATTCAATCGCAAGATTTCAGCTTTAGCTGGGGGGCCGGGGGTCCCTCTATCGACCTGAACAAACACCAGCGGCTTCATGGTACGGCTAGGGGTTCGTATTGGCCAGGTAGAAACGGGATGATGGGAATCTATATGTATTTTAGTATAGCACTCAGAACATCTTTTGAAAAACAGTTGGAATCTAGCTACCACCATTATTTGCAATGATACTATAACATACTATAACGCCACAAATACCGCAACATTACCACACACATTTCTCCCGGCGCGGGCGGACCCAGCCGCGTAGCGGCGCGAATGTACCGTCAACTACTCGGACCTCAAAATTCTTGGCCCTCCAAGTTGCAAGCAAACAAGAAACAACACAACCAGAAAGGGTTCAAATGGAAAAAACATTGGAAAAGTTATCCGCTGTGGACAGTGAACGTGATTCTTGGGGGCCCGCTGACATGTTCAGAATAGCAAGGAGCTTGGCTGCAAACGTGGCAATCCGGTCTTGCGACGAGGTTGGCTTGTGCTGCTTCAGGTTCGGAGGTATGCATCTTTACTTGGTACTTTATATATATCCGCCGACCCCAGCAGATGGCGGGGGAGCGCGTCAGAGAACTCTGCAGCATCCGGCTGCGTGCAGTTACTTGGTGTATGTTCACAGGACCTCAACAACTGCACTATATTCGTGGCAGCGAGGACACGACTTCACGATGGACACCGGACGGAGATCGTTGCGCCGGAGCTGCAAGGATTCAGGTCAGATGCACGCTTGCAACATTGTGGACTATTGTGGCTTTAAAGTTGTGATAGCAAGAGATGCCTCTGGTTGGGGGCGCGGAGACTGCCTTTCGTGCGGGCGCAAAATGCACGAGGCTGACCCGCCGGCTGTGATGGCAGGAGGTTGAGTGAGAGCAATTCCGAGGACGACTTTGCAGTCGTATTTGGGGTGGATTGGGGTGGGTTAGATTGTGGAAAGCTGTGGCGAGGGGGATCGCTATAGGAGCAGGTTGGAAGAGGAGAAGAGGATTTTTACTGCCATCAGACATCAGAAAGCGACGTTTGGCAGTGAGAGAGCAGCGCTGCGGACGACTTTTCAAGCATTTTTGGGGCAGAATCAGATCGTGGATCCGGGCCCGCGCAGTTACGTGGTGCATGTGCACAGGGGGTCAACAACTGTACTTGCGACCCGCGTGCGAAAAAGAGAGAGAAGATTCTTACTGCCGTCAGAGAGCAACGGTGGCGAGGGAGATTGCCGGGGCCGGGAACTCCGAGAACGGCTCCTGGAAGAAGAGAAGAAGAGAAAGAAGAGATTCCTACTGCCGTCAGAAAGCGGCGTTTGGCAGTGAGAGAGCAGCGCCGAAGACGCATTTTCAGTCGTTCTTGGGGTGGAATTAGATTGTGGAATGCTGTGGCTGCAGGGAGAGAGGGAGATTGCTGGGAGCTCCGAGAACGGCTCGCGGAAGCGGAGAAGAAGAGAAGATTTTTTGCGGTCAGAAAGCAACGGTGGCAAGGGAGATTGCCGGGGGCCGGGAGCTCCGAGAACGGCTCCTGGAAGAGGAGAAGAAGAGAAGATATTTTTGCCGCTGTCAGAAAGCGACGTTTGGCAGTGAGAGAGCAGCGCCGAGGACGCATTTTCAGTCGTTTTTGGGTGGAATTAGATTGTGGAATGCTGATCGCTTGGAGCAGGTGTCTACCAGCCAGAAGACGCGTCTCTGGGTGGAGTTGCATTGCGCTGGGAGCAGGTGTCTCCAGCCAGAAGACGCGTCCGTCGCTAGTAAGGCTGCTTTATCCCGATGGCTGGGGTCGGCGGCACGGGGCGTAGCCCTTATATCCGGCCAGGGGCGTGTGCCCCTACTGGCCGTGTCCTGCCGGTAAGGCGTTCTCCTTCTGCGAAGCAGAAAGCGCAGCCGCCCCCAGGCGTGGGACCCAGAAAACCCAGTGTTTTTGACGTTTTTTTTTCCGCGCTTGTTGCTCACGATGGGTCAACATAGCCCAACGTAGGGCCAAATAATGCTGGAAATGCGTGCCGCGCCGGGGTGCTTCGTCTGCATCGTGCGCGGATGCTGAGCTAACATGGGCCCAAGCTAGGCCAACATGGGCTCAAGCTGAGCCAACACATGGGCCCAAGATGGCCCAAGCTAGACGCAAGCTATGCTCAACATAGCCCCAAGACCGCGCAACAAAGGCTCCAGATGGCCTGAGCTAGACCCAAGCTGCGCGCAACATAGCCGCAAGCCCGCCCAACATCCACTCCCTCAGCCTGCACCCGCGCCCAATCTTCCACCCTCCAGCCCCCTACCTCAACGCCCCTGGCCGGCTGTCGGGCGTAAGCCCTTGAATCCGGCCAGGGGCGGTGAGCCCCGTCAGGGCCGTGTCCTGCGTAAGGCATTCTCCTTCTGCGAAGCAGAACGTAGCCGCCCCCCGCCGAGGGACCCAAAAAACTCAGTGTTTTTTGGCGTTTTTTTCTGCTCTTGTTGCTCACGATGGGTCAACATAGCCCAACATAGGCCCAAATAATGCTGGAAATGCATGCCGCACCGGGGTGCTTCGTCTGCATCGTGGGCGGATGCTGGGCTAACCTGGGCCCAAGCTAGGCCAACATGGGCTCGCGGCTCAAGCTGAGCCAACATGGGCCCAAGCTAGACGCAAGCTATGCTCAACATAGCACCAAGACCGCGCAACAAAGGCTCCAGATAGCCTAAGCTAGACCCAAGCTGCGCGCAACATAGCCCCAAGCCCGCCCAACATCCACTCCCTCAGCCTGCGCCCGCACCCAATCTTCCGCCCTCCAGCCCTTAAATAAATAAATATATATATATATATATTATATGTTATATACACGATGTATAATGGGGTTTCTGCGTGCTGGCAAAGCGATGAGTAGCGGCTTAGCGAGTGGTTTTTGCGTGATGGATCGTTGACGGTGCCTGCGCAGGGTCCGAATTGGTGTTCGACCCGATATGTTCAAACCAGCAGCAAGCCAAGCCAGCAGAAGGTCAGCAGCAGCAAACCAGCCACCAGCAGCAGCAAAGCAGCAGCAAGCCAGGTAGCCAGCAAAAGCATGGGAAGCAACAACAGAAGTCAGTCACGGCAGGAACGTGGGTGGGAAATGGCGGGAACACGTATGAAGTAGAGCATGAGGACGAGGATGAAGCTCGGGAACCAATGACCAGGAGGGAGGATACTTCTCAAGCGCGCGAAGGCCTATGCCAAAGGCCTACCGCGGTCCACAGTGGACCAAATCGCGCGCGTCCCAAGCGCTCAAGCTCGAGCCCCGCCCTTGCGGGATGTGAACAAACATGACAAAAAGGTCAAGACGCATCTCTGTACTTGCATCCATAACCGCCTTCCGGACCTTTTTGGCCATCAGGTGTAGGCCGGGTAGCTTGGCGGAGTCTCGCCGGCATCCCATGGCCAGCTAAAGCGCTCAGCCATCTGCTGCAAGGTCGTCACATAGGTCTCCTGCATGTCACGCAGCTTCTGCTCCATTGCCTTCTTGTGGATCTTTCGTCCTGCTTCAAACTTCTCATCGTGGATGAGCCGCCAGAATTGCCTCTGGCTGAAGAACTGGAGCAGCGTCTTCTTCGCCCCATTCTTCGTGAGCGAGTCGCCCAAGTGGGCGAGCCCATTCACCCAGCGCAGCTGTGTCTGCGCCTTCAGCGCTTGGTTGACCGCCAGGGTCAGCTCATAGCCAGCTCGGCTATCTCTCAAGCCGTGCAGCGACGAGAGGTTTCTCGTCGTCGCATCGTAGATGGTTTTGGAATCCATGACCAGCGCGCCAGGGATCTGCCGCACCGTCTCGTGGAGCTTCTCACGGCAAAACTTCAGGCCGCCAAATTCAGCCATCGTCGCCCTGATCTGGTAGTTCTGGTCTTCCCCAATGGTGATGCTCTGGACCTCGGCGCCGTTCGACCCCAAGCATTGGCGTGGAGTCTTTCCACTCTTCCACTGCACCACAGAGAGCTGACATTCGGCCCCGTTCAGGGCCTCCTTGACGGTGATGCCCGTGATGATGCCCACCGTGCTGCTTTTACCGGGGCGGTTGCGCTGGCTCGCATCCGCCCATGTGATCACACATAGGTCCCTCACATCTTCAAACTTCCAGGATGAGGGAAAAAGAAGTCCTT